CAGAAACCCAAGGAGGGGTCACTATGAGTCAGAGCCCACTTGACGGCACATAACAACAACACAAGAAGTCTAGTAAGTACTTTCTATGATAAGGACACCATACCAGGTAGGTACTGTGGGGGTGGCAAAAATACATGCTTTAAAGAAAGTCAGCTGCAGAGCAAAAATCAGTAAGACCATCTGACTCCCAAACAGAAAGCATCAACAAAAATGTCATTTTAGCACCAAAGTCTGTAGTATTTGAATATAATACCAAATAAAACCTAATAATAATATAAAACCAAAAAAAAACCAAACTTACTGCCATTGTGTCGATTTCAACTCACAGAGATCCCCACTGTGTTTCCAAGGTGGTAAATCTTTACAGAAGTCGAATGCCCAGTCTTCCTTCCATGGAGTGGTTAGTGGGTTTGAACCTCCAACCTGCTGGTTACCAGTCAAATGCCTTAGGCACTGCACCACCAGATCTCCTTAATTATAAAGTGATAACAAAATGAAACATGACATCAGTGACCCTCAAGAAATTGACAATGCACTTTCTCCCCTGATTACTCTGAACATTTGCCCTGAATATATCCATGCTCTCTTGCTTGATCCCCTAGTGTCCAAGGACACTCATTCATCCCAGTGCAGCTAAGCATGCGGTCAGGGGCTGTGTGGTTTCTCTCTAACCAGCACAAGGCTGCACCCAGGAATCAGACTCCCAATCTCTGCCACATCAGCACTTACTATGCCAACCTACAACTGCTGGCATGCACTGTCCAAGACAATCTAGTTGACTAAGAGTAAAGGAAAAAAAATAAATAAATAGAACTCCTAGCAACAACTACCAAATCTCAAAGACAGAGACTCCAGGCCTGTGGTTGGGAAGAAGGATGAATGATATTTCAATCTTCTCAGTCAACAAAGCAAAACCAAACCCACTGTGGTCCAGTCAATTCCAACTCACAACTATCTTATAGGACAGAGCAGAACTGCCCCATAGGGTTTTCAAGGTTGCAAATCTTTACAGAAGCAGACTGCCTTATCTTTCTCCCATAGAGTGACTGGTGGGCTCAAAGTGCAGACCTTTTGATTGGCAGCTGAGTGCTTTAACCACTGTGCTACCAGAGCTCCTATCTCAGTCAACAAGTAATTATGAAACATCTTGTGACTTATTCTCAAGTGGACATTTCACTGGGGCTACAGCCAAAATAAAAGTGTCTGCCCAAAAAAGGGAAGAGGAGTGAGTGATAGAAAAAGGAAGGCTAGGGAGCTAATCCTCCTGCTCACCACATCACCACAGCATACCAGAATGAGAAGTGCAACTCACTGTTACATAACTGTGAAGCTGAACAAAAGGCCCCAGCTATGGTAGTAGTGGCCTCTTACAGGCTGGGGGCTGCCACTCAGCCATGCTCATCCATAAACTGCTGAACACCCAACACCACAACCATTTCTAGAATCTCCTCCGCAACCTCTCCAATTAAATAAAGACAAAAAAAGGTGAGCTTCCACAGCAAACAGGCCTGACAGGAGGGCCTCTTCACATCTGAATGTCCCCATTTTAAAATATCCCTGGCTCTTAATAAAGTTCATATCATTAAGTTATTTTTGCACTAACTTGGATGGGACACGATGGGCAGGTCTGTTTTGCCTTCATATTTAGTATCATACAAACTGGACTTCACTCCTTATAATGAATAAAATACAGAGATTATAAGAATACATATTTTGAACTTGGACAGGCTTCTGAAAAATATCACTCACATAAGAGGAGGAAAAGGATCCACGTAATTTGACAAATGCCTTCAGGTGACTGTTTCCTAGATCAACAACTATAAAGCATACCACTTTTCAAATTTCAGGATTAAGGCAAATGAAGAGTAACTGTGCCATTGAATGGTTTCCCCACTAATTATACCTTTACAGCAAAAGCCTCTTAAATTATTGTCTGCAAAGAGAAATTTTAACTGAGAGCAAGTACTAAAATATTGGGTATACCAGAGTCATGAAGCATAGCACTAGAAAAAGATTACAGATCAACAACTCTAGAAACTAACCAGGGAGAACTGTCAAGATAGTACCACAGTAAACAAGGTACATCTAACAACTTGGACAAGAACTTCCTGTACCTTGGCAGACAGGAGACCCTGCAAATTCTCCCACTGCAAAACACCTAGATATGTACATACAATTATAATCATCCTTTTTAAATGTACAACTGGGCTAACAAAAAAAAGTAATAAATCCCCAAGGACTAAGGATGAAAGGCAAACAGAAAACACAGACCAATACTCTTGAGAGCTGACACTGCAACATGGGAGAAGAGGGCGCCAACCTTGAGGGAGGGGAGAAGACAAGAGACAATACCTTGGGCTCAAAGACGCTAAAAAAGTAGGGTTGTCTCCTCTACATAAAGCCTGGGCCTTTAAGAGCTACAATCTCATGAAATAGTGGACCAAAAAATTCGTCCACTAACAAAAGACAACCATGAAAGCTTGTGTCAACCTAGGCTGAAGGAGGGAAAAAAGGTATCCTATAGGGAGTCTGTAACCATGAGTCTGCTTTCAAACCTGTTTGAAACTTAAATTTACACTTACCTACATGGTCTGAGAAACAAAAAAATTAAACAAAAATAAAGTGGTCCCAGACAAGTAATACACCTTAGCTGCTTAGAAGCAAATGCAAAACATCTCTGAATCACACACTTCAACCAGAGGCACATAGATTCTCATAGATAAAGTCATGCTAAAGGTGACTTTAGAATCCAAAAGTACAAAGACCTGAAGCACTAGCCAAATATAGGTAGAATTAACAGGATTAAACACCTAAAAAGTTCTTATAACTATTTGATTAAAGAAGATAAATTACATGATTATCTCAAAAGATGAAAAGGCTTTGATAAAATTAAAAACCTATTTATGATTAAAAAAAAAAAAAAACAGAAAATAACAGTTATTGGTGAGGAAGTGAAGAAATCAGAACCCTCGTACATTGCTGGGAGGAAGGTCAAATGGTTCAGCTGCTATGGAAACCAGTTGGCTGCTTCTCAAAACATTAAACACAGACTTACCATATGATCAAGCAATTCTATTCCTAAGTATATACTCAAAAGAATTGAAAACAGGCACTCAAAACAAATGCACTTAAATCAATGTTCATAGCAGCACTACTCACAATAGACAAAGGCAGAAATAGCCTGTGTTCATCAACGAATGAATAAACAAACTGCGGTATACACATATGACAGAATATGATTCAGGTATAAAAAGGAACGAAGTACCGATACACGCTACAAGGTGGATGAACCCTGAAAACATTATGCTGAATGAAAGAATTCAGACACAAAGGATCATATATTATGTGATTTCATTTATGAGAAATGTCCTGAATAGGTGAACACATGGAGAGAGCGCAAAATGGTGACAGCCCAGGGCTGGGGACCCAAGTGGGGTAGAGGGGTTGGTAACTGCTTAACGAGTATGGGGTTTCCCTTGAGAATGATAAAAATACTTTAGAATGAGATAGACATGGCAGTTGCATAGCACATTAACATATTAAATGCCACTGAACTGTTCACTTTAAAATGGTTAATTTTACCTTATGCTAATTTCCTCTCAAAAAATAATTAATTTAATTAAATTTTAAAAATTAAACTATCTCTTAGCAAACTATAAGGAAACTTCATTTATCTGATAAAAAGAGTCTACCAAAAACAGCCACCACACTCAGTGTAGTATGAAAGACTGGGAGTACACACTTTAAATTCAGGAACAAGACAAGGTTGCACACTATTGTTTCTATTAACATCAAGTTAGGGATCCTAACCAACAGGTAAGACTGAAGGGAAAAAAATAAAAAGGATAAGGGTTGAAACAAAGAAAGAAAATTATGAACAGTCAAGGATTACAAAGATCTTATTATTTCAAAACAGAAAATCCACAGGTAAGCTGGTAGAAACAGAGATCTCAGTAAGGTGGTTGGACATAAGGTCAGTATACAAAAAGCAATTACATTTCTAGATGCAGTCAATACCTACTTAGAATGCGTAATTTTAAAAACAATACTATTTACAAAAGCGTTGTTATGATATCTAGTGATAAATCTAGCAAAATATATGTAAGACTTTTGTGAAAAAAATTATAAAATTATACTGAAAGACATGAAAAGAAACCTACATAATCAGAAAAACATCACAAGTTCATAGATGGGAAGAGAATATCATAATATGTCAATTTCCCCAATAAATTCAATACAATTGTAATCAAAATCCCAAGACACAAAATGTGTACACTATAAAAGGTAAATTTTACTACTTGAAAAATGAAAATATCTGCATAAGAAAACATCATAAACAAAAAAACAACAAGCCACTATCTGAGAAAGGATATCTGCAAGCACAGAACCAATAAAAGGATTAATATTCAGATATAGAACCACCCAAGTGTCCATCAAGAGATGAATGGATAAAGAAAATGTACTATATTCATACAATGGAGTATTATTCAGCCATAAAGATAAAGTTCTGATACATGCCGACATGGATGAACCTTGAAAACCTTATCCTAAGTAAAACAAACCCAACCCAAGAAGACAAACATTATATGATCTCATTTATATGAAATATCTAGAATAGGTAAATACAAAGAGACAAAAGTTTCTTAGTGGTAACCAGGAATGAGTAAAGGGGGATAAAAAAGGAGGTACTGCTAAGAATGCCCAAATATATAATAGAGCTAACAAGGGGCAAAGTTATGATAACTTCTTAACCACAGCTAAACACCCTGAGGGACACCAAGCAGTTGGGCCTGTGGGCTCGAGACCATGGTTGCAGGGGATATCAAGCTCAACATGCATAACATACTACACAAAAACATTGTTCCACATCCTACTTTGGCGAGTAGTGACCGGGATCTTAAAAGCTTGCAAGCAGCCATCTGGATGCAACAATGGGTCTCTCCTCAACCAGCGCAAACAAGAATGGAAAAAAACAGCTCTCTCTGGTTCTTGCTTCCAACATGACAAAGAAAAGGAGGAACTATGGTTGTGTGAAAAAGGGCCACGGCTACGTGCAGCCTATTAGCTGCACAAACTATGCTCACTGCATGTCCAAAGACAAGGCAATTAAGAAGTTTGTAATTAGAAATATAGTAGAGGCCGCAGCAGTCAGGGACATTTCCGAAGCCAGTGTCTTCGACGTATACGTGCTTCCCAAGCTCTATATGAAACTGCATTATTGTGTGAGTTGTGCCACTCATAGCAAGGTGGTCAGAAACCGTTCTCATGAAGCCCGAAAGGACAGAACACCTCCACCCCAACTTAGACCGGCAAGTGCTGTCCCACAGCCTCCACCAAAGCCTGTGTAAGGATTTGAGCCCTTAAAAGCTGAAGAATAACTAACCTGAAAGAAAATAAAACAGAAATTATACTTTAAAAAAAAAAAGTATGAAAAAAAAAAATGCATGGAAAGAATAAGTCTAAGGGACTAGCAGACCATTAGATCCTCAGTTTTTATGACCACGAGACCAGAAGAACTAAATAGTGCCTGGGTACTTCTGCAAACCACTCCGAAAGGGATCAATGCAAGAGATCCTGGATAGAGTGAGAGAACAATGTAGAACAAAACTCAAAATCATTAAAAAAAAACAGGTTTACTGATCTGACAGACCCCTTAGACTATGGCCCCTGGTTATCCTTCAGGTCTGGAATTGAACTTACTCCCGTGGCTTCCAGCCAAACCACAGATAAGTATATAGGGTGAACATTTACATCAGGTAGATACATTCCTCAGAGCAATTAATCTTGGGAGAACAGAAGGGCAGTAGTGTTTGCACAGAAAAAGAGCTCGAGAGGCAGAAATGCACAGGAAAGAAGGACCCAGGGAAGATATAAGTACAGAGAAGAAGTGGGAAGGGAGCTGTTATACTGTGGGGAAAAACAAAATGTGTATGAACTACTGTATGGAAAATGAATTTGCTCTGTAAACTTTCACCCAAATCACAATAAAAATTTAAAAAAAAAAAAAAAGGAGGTACTGCTTAAGAGGCACTAAGTTTCTGTTAAAAACCAAAATCACTGTCATCAAGTTGATTCCAACTCACCGTAATCCCTGTTGGGTTTCCAAGGCTATAAATCTTTATGGAAGCAGACTGCCTTCTCTTTCTTCCACGGAGTAGCTGGTGGGTTCAAACCACCAGCCTGTTGGTTAACACCCAAATGCCTTAACCACTACACTACCAGAGCTCCCTGAGTTTCTATTAAGGGTGGTGAAAAAATTTATAGTGGTGACAGTTGTACTACATGGTGAACATAATTAATGTCACTGAATTGTATAAATAAACGTTTGAAATGGCAAATGGTTTATTATATATGTGTTTTAAAAAGCCAATAAGAAAAAGATAAACCTAACAGAAAATTAGTCAAAGAATATGACTAAGCAATTCATGACAAGGAAACTCAATCCATTAATTTGTTGCCATTGAGTCGATTTCAACTCAAAAAGACCCTATAGGACAGAGTAGAACTCTCCCATACGGATTATAAGCCTGTGATCTTTATGGAAGCAGACTGCCACACCTTTCTCCCACAGAGTGAATGGTGGGTTTGAACCACCAACCCTTAGGTTGGCAGCCGAATGCTTCAACCACTGCGTCACCAGGGCTCCTTCTATGTGTGTGAAATCAATAAAAGAAACCATAACCCCCCCCCCGCCCCCGGAACACAGTAAATAAAAGTTCTAGAAGGCAGCTACCCCAAAAAGTCACCCTTTGGCATTAAAAATTGGTTCCAGGTCCGTAATAGAAACTTCTAAACATGGAGGGTCACACTATTCCAGCAACTCTAAATCATCTTTGTCAACTAAAGACATATTCTTGTGGTATTCTGATCTGCTGAGGCAGAGTCCCACATAAATGCTATGTTTTGTGAATTGTATTACTTCTTAAAATTGTACCACTTCATGCTAGCTCTAACTGGATTAGTATATAATCATATTAAAAAAAAAAGTAACAGCAATCAACATTTGATGGACATAAACATAATGTGAAAGAACATCCTTGAAGGGGTGCAACAGAAAAGCAGAAGGCTTTCCTTCTCTGCTTGTGCTATAAATTGTGCTAGACCCAATGGCTACTCTTGCAGAAGATCAGTAACCTACCTACCAGTCCTGTCACCTGCCCAAGTAATTGAGAGTGCTACTGCCTCAAAGCCTCCTATCCTCAAAAACAGGAGTGGGGTCATGGGCACCAGTATTAAACAACTCTATAGATGAAAGGTCTTAATTTCAAAGAATCTGAGAGACTGGGGAAGTTCGGTATTTATACATGTTCCTGAAGGTCCAACCTAGCAACTCATCCAGGCTTCTCAAAAGCATCTGGGGACTGTACAGTGTACAGGAGTATAAAGGCCTTTGTTCTATTTCAGTTATAGACACTGACTGTGCCATATACTCTCATGTACCTTCCACTGTGCCATCAATTACGTAGGAAGAAAAAAGGCTTCTCTTGTTTGGATTTGTAGAAAGGCACCAAACACATGCTCCTCAAATGCAAAGTTGTCCCTTAACAGCATCCTATTATAAATATGTAAGTAACATGCACTGCATGCTCCCACAAAGCTGTGACTAATCCCTTTTAACTCTTTTTCCCCTATTATAACATCACACTTGCGCTAATTTCTTCAATAGGCTGTATCTGGTTTAGCCAAGAAACCACTGTCTACGCTTTGCTGAATCCTACCAATATCAACCTCTTCTTTAGAGGGCCAAAGGAAAGGACAGACTCCAAGAGCCCCTCCTATAGCTTTCATCCAGTCCCTCTATTCCCAACTTGTCACTCTACAAATAAAATTTTAACATTTGGTTAGGTATCCTGGGTAACATTAGCTGTAACTCCTATGTTCAGTTACATCTAATGGAGGACACCAAAACCTAACACATTCTGCTGTGGCCCAGAGTAAGGCATTCCTTGTTTTCCTATGGAAGGCAGAGACAAATTGCTTCACTTGCTTGGAGAAGATACCACTGGCCTGTGGGTTTCCTGAGGCCTTACCAGGCCCTGGCAGCAGCCTCAAACACTTCAGAAGGTTTATACCCACATAAGCCATTAACACCAGGATAAAGATACTATATGTTGTTGTTGTTGTTGTTTGCCGTTGAGTTGGCCCCGACTCATAGCGACCTCTCCTTGGGTTTCTGAGGCAGTATCACCACGGAAGTAGGATTGCCCAACCTTCCTTCCAAGGAGTGGCTGGTGGGTTTGAACCACCAGCCTTCTGGTGAGCAGTCAAGTGCCTTAGTCACTATGCTACCAGAGCTCCTAAAGATACTATATAGCCTGCAGATAAAGAAGCGTGAAGAGCCATCAGCAACTGCATCAATTATTTAATTTTGTATTCCAAAAGCTGTCTCCCTCTGGGCTGCCTCTATACTTGATAGGAAGTAACAGATTTTTAAGGAAAATTTGGAAATAACTACAGTGTTTAGGGAATCATTTGACAAGAACTTCAGTGAAAGGTAAATAATCAGGATGTATGGGGGACAAGCTGATACCCTACCACCTAATAACTAATCCTCCTACACCTGAACCTTTTCCAGTTCAGGGAGAGTCAAAACTTTCATTATCTGCAGACTTAACACTAAGTTAAGACTCACTAAATGTACTCAAAATGTTTACACAAAGAAAACAATTAAAAAAAAAAAAAAAAAAAAACAGAAATACACCCTTCTCAGCAAAATGATAAAGCAAATGCTAGGTAGTAAATACTACATTCCAACTGCTGACCCTGATGGCTTTTAATAAACACACCGGAGGGTGGGGGGAGGAATCATGACATACAAACTAGGAGGTTCTTTTACTAAAATAAGAGGCTCTAAAGTCTTGGACCAGACTCTTCTATGAAGTTTCACAGAAATAATGGAAAGCTCTTATAGCATATATGAAATCCCAACCCATTAATTAAGGATACAGGCTCCTAAGGTACTAGTCAACAAAGAGTAATGAAGAGCAATTGAGGTCCAATTTTAAAAGGAGAGGGAAGATGGTTCTACAAAGATAGTTCTAATGTACCAAGTTCCAAAATCAGAAACACCTCAGGCCCTCTTGTTAATAGATTACATCCTTCACATCAGAAACTGATCCTTACCTACTTTAAGTTGCTTAAATTGACAAAAGGCATTGCTACTCTGGAAACTTTGGTGGTCTCTGGAATGCCTACTTTTCAAGAGTCACACCTCCACAAATTCAGTTCAGCTCAACAAACATTTACTAAACAATTACTATATACTGGGGACATAAAGATAAAGAGAAAACACAGGTTAGGTCATAAAAAGTGTTAAGAGGAATGATACCCAAAGTGAGTTTTGAAAAAAGACTTGGACAGAATTAGGTAATGTAGGAGGAAGGGGATGGGGGATGCAGAGGTACTGACTTGGTGTTGGGGGTGGTGTTGAAAAAAAGGAAGGAAAAATTTAGAGAATACCATGAACAATGATTCTGAGACATAAAAAAGCAAAATGTGTTTAAAGAAATCCAAGAAGTTTATATTACAAAAATCAAACCCACTGTCATCCAGTCAATTCTGACTCACAGTGAACCCTCTAGGGTTTCCAAGGCTGTGAATCCTTATGGAAGCAGACTGCCTCATCTTTCTTTCATCAAGCTGCTGGTGGGTTGGAACTGCTGACCTTTTTGGCCACCAGAGCTCCTTAAGAAGTTTATGTTACGGGAGCATAAATAAAATAAGAATTATGGAAGAGTAGTAAATGAGTAACAGAGCCAAGATCATAGAGAGTTCTGAATGCACACTTGAGATTAGATTGTACTATTCAAGGCAAGGATTCTTAACTTTTTTTTTAATCAGAGATCTCACTGAAAATCTGACTAAAAGTCATGGATCCTTTCTCTAGAAAAATGTGTGCATCCACACACTTTTTCCCCTTATAATCTGGGGATTCATACAACCCCTAAAGTTCAATTAGGGCCCCTGCTATGGACAATGTCCTTGGTCTCCAGGAATAAGAACTCCCACGACTGACTGAGGAAGCCACTGAAGGGTATAAAATAACAGCATGACATAATCTGATCTTTTATAAAGATCATTCTATAACCACCAGAGAATGTTGGTTCAAAGCACAGGTACAAGTAGTTTCAAACTGAAATTCCAGCTCACTTTGTTGTGTGATGCTGGACAAGTCACTTAATATGACTGGGCCACAGTTTCCTCATCTGTAAAATAATTCTACCAAGAAAAATTATTACATACTTAATAACTTGGCTGAACACACAGTCCTACATAGTTGTAAAATTTATTTTTATAGTATCTCCCATGAAAATATTTTACAGCCTTACCATGATTCCAACCTGTTTGG